TCGTCTTATACAGTTGACTCCCATCCGTCATCCTGGCTACTCTAGGGATTAGTGTGTTGAATACTGCATCCTACTCCAATCCTGTTCATCTGCCTGGTCAATATAAGTCACTGCCTGGCTATCATATCCCCCAACCCACCGGCTCCCTCTCTCACTCCCCTCTCTCCGAGATATATCGGGAGAGGAGGGACCCTGCGCCATGCCCCAACTCTCAGCGGCAGTCTCACGAAAGTAAACCGGAGCACATGTCGCACACTCCCCCGGCCTCTGACCCGCTGAAGGACGATTCTCTCCGCACAGAGTCATGCAGCTTGTCCGAAAAGAAGCGACCTCGTGTAGACGATGATTCTCACTCGTCCGAGGTCCGTGATCTCGTGCGTCCTTCGCCGTTCTCATGGCGTCCTTCTGCCCCAGTGGAGCCCCCATTGCAAGCTGCCCAACTTCGTTCTATTGGAGTGCACTCCATACTAAACTCCCCCGCAAAATCTGCTCCTTCTTGTCCGGTACCTTCGCGGGGAGATAACCTGAGTCTGGCGAGACATCAGTCATCCGTCCCTCCATCTTCTGCACCTGCTTCTCATGTCCGACTGCATTCATCGCCAACGCTTCGTCTTGCTTCGCCGTCGATACATCCCGCCGAACGGCGTTCGATATCCCCTGGCTCGGTGAACCGTCAGATTCTCTCGCCTGTCTCCCCCACAGCACGATTTGTCGGAGCCGGAGGGCCGTATGCTAGGAAGCCCAGTGCTATACAGTCGCCCCTGGCTCAGGAGTCACGGCCGGGACTGTATCGGTTGTCCTCTGGGTCGCCTCTGCCGTTGGAAAATGCTACAGTGAACCCAAATCATGCATCCGAAACCATAGCTCCAGTCCCCGTTTCCATCCACTCCACCCCAACCTTCCACAGTCGGGGAACGAGCGCGAATCCGACCCCTACTCCCAGCTCCCAAGAGAGGAGCCCCGCGACTCCTCTTTCCATCTACGGTCCGCTTGGTCGAGCATCACCAGCAATCGCTGGGATGCCCATCCCACAATCTGCACCATCGTTCGCTAATCCGCCGAGATATGGGACGGCAGAACCGGTCAGTCGATTGCCGTCGGTTGGAGGTGATAGGCCGGCAGGAGACGAGCAAACCAGCATAGGTGGACCTACGAATGCCGCACTTCTGCCTGGGATGATCCCATGTATTTTGGACCTCAAGTCCGGGTCATCCAGCCAGGCAGAGAAGCGAAAGGCAAACAGCGATGCCTCAAGAAGGTTCCGTAATCGGAAGAGGAATGAGATGCAGATGGAGCAAAAGATCACGGCACAACAGGACGAGATCCGGAAGCAGCAGGAGGCACTGCACAAACAGGCGCAGGAGATTCGGGAGCTGATGCAGCAACGCGATCATTATCGATCCGAGCGGGACTTTTACCGAGAGCATGTCACTCGTCTCGTACCACCGGGACAGCTTCCAGCTCGTCCACCATCCCCTCAAGCGTACCGTTCGATTCCAGAGCGGGAAGCTGAGCCAATGTGGTCTGCTGCAGAGACCAGAGGTGCGATGAATGCTACAGGAGGATTACCTGGTAAAGCGCCAGCCTCCAATGCAGTTTCTGGATTATCGGTCAGACGAGACAACTGGCACAACAGTCTCTCATACCCAGTCACTGCTCATGAGCAACAGGCTAAGCCACCACCCCAGCTGTCTGAGAACTGGACGCGTTCCTAAGCGAAAAGCGACTTAAGGGTATCTAGCAGACCGACTCTGTGAATCGTTGCCTATGTCCGCAGAAAGCGTAACACCTCTAGCTCATGTATTATCCTTTTCATTTGTCTATTTATTCCTACCATGTTGTCCATCAAGATTGTTGCGGTCTCTTTTTCCGTGAACATAAGCATCATGCTTGCATTGAGAGCGTTCTCCGCGAGAAAAACTTGCATCCTCATTTTGACTGTGGCTGAAAGGCCGAGCACTCATATTCAGCGAGCCCTTTCTATACATGGTCTTGGGTTTCTGGGAGGCCAAATTGTGATCTAGTTGACTTAAATTGCCGCAAGTGACCCTCATCTCTGTACATAGCTCAGAAAGCCGTCCATAAGCTGGCAGGCGTTGGATAAGAACCTGGTGCATTACCCTCATGGTTGATCTCGTCCGTTTTACAAATCCACCAGTTATCCCAATATAGAAGGGTTTCCCACTGTTCATTCAAACAATCACACGCTAGTTGCTACATACATACAGCAACTCCATTAGCTCAAGCAGTCACTGCTGATCTGTGACTTGAATGCATCCCCTGCATCTCTTTCCCTCGTATGGCGCACGCCACCAAATGAGATAACAAACAGCTCGATGATCATCGCACCTAATTTCTCTGAACCATTGCTCCATGTTAGTTCTAGAATTGTCATCTGCAGGGTTCATGTGTGCCATATCACTAGCAAAGGTAATTAGATTGTAAAGCAAGTCTGCATGGATGATGCTGTAGGGAGCACATTAGTGGTATTCTGGAAGTTGTCTGTTGCACACGTTGCGGTGAGAGGGTGTTCGATTGGCGCTGGAATCAAACATACTCATCTTCAAAGAGGCAGATTAGATTGCGGGCACTGTTTCTGACTCTGGGCATTATAGGGCTGTTAAAGCGCTATTTGGTCTCCTTCGTAATACTTCGTATTTACCCTGTAGGTAGTTCTGTCGTTCTTGATTTACCACTGAATTGCTTTTCCTGGAAGATAGCCAGTTAAAAAAGTATTGATAGAGTTCATCAGTACCTATGTTTCCTCATCAGACTTCAGCATCCTCTCCAATATCTAGTCCATCTTGATACTCTACTATAATCAATCTAATCTCCGGAGTATTCCAGGCACCAAGGCCCCCACATAGTCTCCCGGCTCGGCAACTCAGGCCGTCAGTCTCAGGCTGCCAGGCACTCACCAACCACCACATCGGTTGCACCCACGTGGTTTCCCGCGCAGCCTATCAGATACTCGCACATCACCACACATCAGTTTGTCCAACACTATGGCATACTCTCCTTCGGTCACGTTTCTGTGCGCTACCGTCCTCGGTTCGGATTCATTCCCTGCTACCCTGCTCTCACGCGACAGACTTACGAATCGCTCCACTGACCCCAGGCTAATCGTCCTGCGAAGCTGCTAACTTGCTAGCGGCGTGGTGGACAGGCAAGCTGGCTGGGCCCGGACGTCCGTTCCATATGCGGAAGGGAAGTGCGATATGAGTCTGGCGGGAAAAGATGAAGGAGCTATATAATGGCCAGCGTGTCCGGCGTGTCCGGCGGGGTGAGGATGATTTCCCGTTCAGATCGAGGGTTAGGACATTTAACGAGGGGAGAATCCTGATTATCGGTATCATGGGTGCTCTTACTTTCCTGCTTTCGGTGGCGTATCTGCTATCTGGGTGAGTGAATTTATTTTCGTTGCTATGCTAGGGCTGTGGTTCTGATTGTGGTACGGAGTAGAGTGTCTGGGGCACCGAGTTCGGCGGGCAGCGCTTTGTGCGATACGGTAGAGCTGGGGTACCAGTGCTCTCCTGCGACTTCTCATCTGTGGGGCCAGTACTCGCCGTTCTTTTCGCTCGAAGACGAGCTGTCGGTGTCGAGTGAGCTTCCCAAGGATTGCCGGGTCACGTTTGTGCAGGTGCTCTCGCGGCATGGAGCGCGGTACCCGACCAGCTCGAAGAGCAAAAAGTACAAGCAGCTAGTGACGGCGATCCAGAGGGATGCCACCTCGTTCAAGGGCAAGTTTGCCTTTCTGAAGACGTACAACTACAGGCTGGGTGCGGACGACCTCACTCCCTTTGGGGAGCAGCAGATGGTGAACTCGGGAATCAAGTTCTACCAGAAGTACAAGGCTCTGGCGCGCAGTGTGGTGCCGTTTATTCGCTCCTCGGGCTCGGACCGCGTCATTGCTTCTGGGGAGAAGTTCATCGAGGGGTTCCAGCAGGCGAAACTGGCGGATTCTGGCGCCACGAACCGCGCCGCTCCGGTGATTAGTGTGATTATTCCAGAGAGTGAGACGTTCAACAACACGCTGGACCACAGTGTGTGCACGAACTTTGAGGCGAGCGAATTGGGGGATGATGTTGCGGCCAACTTCACTGCGCTCTTTGCACCTGCGATCCGTGCTCGCGCCGAGAAGCATCTTCCTGGCGTGCAGCTGACAGACGATGACGTCGTCAGTCTGATGGACATGTGCTCGTTCGATACTGTAGCACGCGCCAGCGACGCGAGCCAGCTGTCGCCCTTCTGTGCACTCTTCACTCACAATGAGTGGAAGAAGTACGACTATCTCCAGTCCCTGGGCAAGTACTACGGCTACGGCGCGGGCAACCCTCTGGGACCAGCTCAGGGGATAGGATTCACCAACGAGCTGATTGCCCGGTTGACGCGTTCGCCCGTGCAGGACCACACGAGCACCAATTCGACTCTAGACTCCAATCCAGCCACCTTCCCATTGAACGCCTCCATTTACGTGGACTTTTCGCACGATAACGGCATGATTCCCATCTTCTTTGCCATGGGCCTGTACAATGGTACCGGGCCCCTGTCGCTGACCACGGTGGAAAGCACCAAGGAGTCGGACGGGTATTCGGCGTCCTGGGCGGTGCCTTTTGCCGCACGAGCCTACTTTGAGACGATGCAATGCAAGTCGGAAAAGGAGCCTCTAGTTCGCGTGTTGGTCAATGACCGGGTTGTGCCACTGCATGGCTGCGCTGTGGACAAGCTGGGGAGATGCAAGCTGAATGACTTTGTCGAGGGATTGAGTTGGGCCAGATGTGGAGGGAACTGGGGAGAGTGCTTTAGTTGACAGTTGCCATTGTTCTGTCATATATTAATAGATCGTTGCTCTAGTGATTGACTCCGTTGTCATTCACTTCACTTTACCTTGAATCAACTGCTGTGTTCCCTCGCCTTTCTCTCACTTCAATCTTCATATCTTCTTCGAATTCTCTACGACCTCTCATCCAGTCAAACCTCCCCAACCACTGACTGATACAATGCCCATCTACGACATAACCCACTACCTCCCCATCGAAACCCTCCCACCCCCGGAAACCGACAAAACATACTACACCAAACCCATCCTCGTGCTCATCGTCTCCCTCAGAATCAACGCCTGGAACAAATACCTCTCTCTCATCCGCAAACTCCAGCGCGAGGCCCGCCTCCTCTGCGTCACAAACGTCTACGACCTGAACGAGCTGGTCGACGAGCACGCAGACGAGATTGCAGGGTTTGTGGTTACAACGGGGGATATCATGCTCGCGGACGAGTACGTTCCTGTCCTCCCCCATCGTCACAACAACAGTTACAAAAACCCAAAGGAAAACTCAAACTCAAATGGAATTGAAATCGAAGAAGGAATGATAGAAGGCCTCCCCACCCGCCTCGCCACCCTCCTCAAACACCCACCCGCGGCGCACAACACCTACTCCCTCGTCTTCGCCTTCGAGTTCCCCCGCGCAGCAGCCAAATATCCCACTTCCTTTACAGCATTCATGCAGACTTACTTCGGGCTGAACTGGAGCATCGCAGGGACATCGCGGCAGAGAGTAGCGATGGAGCTACAGCAACACATTCTGGGGATGTTGGCGGCGAGGACGTACCGCCGGTGGTTCAATATCCGGGGTGTGTTTCTGCGGGGGGTCCCGAGGCAGGAGAAAGTGTTGGTGAGTTGCGAGGACGGAGAGATTGAGTTTGGGGAGGGGGAGAGGATGAATCGGTGGACGCTTTGGCATCGGAGGCCGTGGATTGAGACGCCGGATACGGTTGGCGGGGAGTGGGATGAGATTCAGTCTGAGGGTGAGGTTGGGGGGGAGTCTGAGGGGGAGGGGGAGGTGGAGGAGGAGGGATATCTGGGTGATTGTGAGGAGATGGATGAAGATGAGGACGACGAAGAGGAAGATGAAGAGGACGAAGACGAAAAGCTTCGTGCTGACTGCCCCGTTGCCATCCACGAGGTCAAACCCGCGAACAAAACCGAAGCAGAGGACGGAGGAGCAAGCTACGTTGCCTTTGTCGGTCACCTGGAGGACAGCCGCTCGATGGCCTCGTTGATACTAGGGATCTGTGGTATCGAGATGGACGATTCTGAATAATTTGGCTCTTCTTCTTTCTCTGCAGTTTAGTTTGGATTTGGTACATCTATCGCATCAAGACAGGCTCAAAATTCAGTTCTCATACTAATATCAACACTAATATACAACACTAGTAACAAAACATATTCTATTCCTTCTCCTTCTCCTCCGTAGACGGTCTCCCCAACCGCTTCGGTTTACTATTCCCATACGCTACAAACATCAGCTCAATCTCAATCTCATTCGCAGACAAGGAAAGCGCACATACTCCGATCATACAACACCCACGACGTGTACAAGAATATCGGCAGCGCCACAATAGTCGATAACCACCTATCATCACATCATCAGTTCAGTACCGAAAGTAAGAAGTGGGCTTAGGCTTACCGTCTAGCGGCGACTTTGTACTCCTTCGTCTGCCGGATATCTGTGATCTGGGCTTGGGTTCGGGGGCGGGTCGTTCGTCGCTGCGAGAGGGTTTGCGGGTCGACGATGACTCTGGGTTTTGRGCTTGAGGGGTGGGGTGGGGGTGTAGAGTTTGTCATTGTTTTACTTCTGGCTGGTTTATACTACGAAGTAGAACGAGATGAAGTTGATGCAGGAAATGGATTGTTACAAGGTCAAGGATCGAGACGTGACGGGTGTGTGATTGGCGGAAAAGTTTGCCTGGATGCCTTGATGCCTAAGGCATGTTGTAATCAGTCCTACGATACTAGGGGTTCTTTGCTACAATCACACATCGAGTCCGTCTGATCGATATCCTAATTCTGTTAACGCAAAGGTACATTTCTTAAAGTCGCATATCCGCTAATATCAATTGCTTTATGCATCCATGACCCGTTGCTTGCGCCGGATCCGATATGCCTCGAAACCCCAGGATTGTACAGGTGAAAGAAATAATACATACAGTCGCCATCAACGGCACCTCACACGCAGCGTGTCGGTTCCTGCTGATGACTTGAACATCATAGAAACGTCTAGGGAGGTCCGCAGCGTTCAGCTCGGCCCATCACCTTGACAAACTTTGATGAAACAATAAGAGCAACGATCAAAATATCATAAACGCCAAATGAAACAGAAGAGCCCAGAGTCCGCCGGATGCTTCGCTATGCTCTGATGCATGTACTCAATCCGTAACGCCGTGCGACAACAGTGTGATTAGATCAGATAAAATGATGTTGCCTCCTTGCCAATCATAGCAGAAGAGAGTTCAACGAGATTGTCTTGATTCTCAGTGAAATGGGATAGGATTCAGATGAAGGCCGATAAAAGTCAATAGACTGCTCGCGCCGATTGTTCATAATTCTGCTGGATGACCAGGCAGATAGATGTAGCCGAAGATTCAAAACTCAACCCAGACTGATTGAATGAGCAGTCGTTATCGCGGACGAGGGAAGAGGATAGTGATAGTAAAAAAGGATCAGATGATGGACATGTAAGTGGCTAGTAGATAGACTTCAAATAGGGCACGAGGTTGACTGTATCCTCGGTGAAGTGAGGTAAAGACCCAGTAAGATATAGGCCAAGGGTATCAACTCAACAGACAGTCAAGGCTTGAGATGCCAAAGTGATGCGGCGGTGTTGAATCAACTGGAGGCGTGACGAGGAAGGCAACTGAGGAAGGCGATCGAGAAAAGGAAGAGACCAGTGAAGTAAGCGTAATTCGAAGTAGAGTGAGGTTTGTAGAAGGCGAGATAGAATGCAATTGAAGAGATACTAGCAAGTAGCCGAATCATGCGCCTTTTATGGGCTCACCCGCAGGATTCCCGCCTCCCTGTTTCGAAGGAGTGGCGGCCTTCTTTCGAGCGGCCCGACGCGCCCTCTCCTCGGCATGAGACTGGAAATCGGCCATCAGAGCCGTTGCCGCACGGCGCCGCGGACGACCATTCGGTGTCTGGTTCTGCTCGGAGGGGCTCGCTGTGTCTGACGATGGCTTGCGTCTCTTAGGGGAACTGGCCTCGCCGTCATTCTCCACGTCGGCGAGAAGACGTTTCTTCGATGGGCTGGATGGCATTGCCGCAAAAAGCCCTGCGACCGCCGCCGCTTTCTCGGGGTTCGAGAACTTGAACTTCACTGTGAGACTTGGCTTCTCGGCAGTGGCGGCGGCGGCAGCGGGACTGGGAGCACTCCGATTCTGTCGCCGCCTCTTGGTCCCCGAAGTCGAGTCAGGGGTAGCATTGACGGGCTCCGTGCGCCTTCTCTTGCGCGAACCACTGGCAGGCTTCTCCTCCTTCTCGGGCTCACTCTGCCCAGCGTTGTCATACCGGGAGATCAAGGCCTCAATCTGAGCGGCCGACATCGTCCGATCAACCGGAATGCCCCTCAGCCGGGCGCCCTCTCGTGCCTTGACCTTGGCCTTTTCCTCGTCAACGTCCTCCAGTCGAAAGGGGAGATTCGTTTGCTGCGGGAGATTACGCTCCCCCAGCCGCGGCGGGTACCCGAAGATCCGGTCCTTCTCCGCCTGTTCACGCGATCTGAATCGCCCCGGCGGCTGGGGGAGCTGGTCATCCCCGTAGGTGTTGGAGGGATGAACCCACTCAAAGTCGGAAGAGACAAAGACGTACTCCTCCCCAAACTTGTTGAGAAGACCTGTATGCGTCCAACCATCCTCGTCAGTCCACGGCTCCGATACTTTCCTCTTGTCCATACCAAATGGCAGGCTCGAGGTTGGCCTACTTTCTCCCTCCGACCCCGCCCCCTCTCGATCTTGCTCCCGCTGCTCCGCTTCGAACTCTCTGCGTAGGCTCTCCAGCCTGGCATCAAGTCCGGCATCCAGCGCAGCGTCTGCAGACACAGCCGCCACCGCCAGCTCAAGCAGCCGTCTGGCAATAAATGCCGTGTCAGGCTGCTGAGCGGCAGACGCCTGCGCGGATGCCGGAACTTGATGATCAGGCTGGGCCGCGCCTCCCTTCTTCTGCCCCAGACCCGCCGTCGACTCGGGTTTGCTGGATGGAGCCCTGGAGCGGCGGAACTGTCGCTCCGACTCCAGGGACTCCAAGGCCTTGACGGTGGGCTTCCGAATGCGACTCGAGGTCCTCGCAGCAACGGACGTGCCGGTGGATAGACTCGTCGGTGAGCCCGGGCCATCCACCTGGCCGTCGAGGCCGAAGCGGTTACCATACATCTCGGGGCCATATTCGAAATGGAAGTTGTCACGGTAGGCTTGCACCGGCGTCCCCTCGACACTGTCGGCGACCTCCCCATTGTATGGGGTAGTCTCAAGAACCATCAGGGTCGCGTGGGAGTCCAGAGGCTTATCGACAGCCAGAAGTTTAGCGGCGGTTTTGGCTCGCGAGCTTCGAGTGTTTATGTTGTGAGAAAGAGGTTGAGCTGCTTCGAGGGTCGGATCTGGGACAGAAGAGGGCTGAGATGGAGTCTCGTGAATCTGGACCGGGGGATTGTGATTGTGCTTGGTCGACGTCTCTTGGTTATGATCCACAAGGTTGCGATCGGTCCCGGTCTTGGACTTGCGATCACGACGACGGGATCTGGCAGTAGAGACGCGTGAATTCGTGTTAGCCTGGGCGGCGGGAGTTGCTGAGTCGGCTGTTTCAGCTTTTTCGGCCTTCGGGGCAACGGGGGTAGCTGGCTTGGCTGGTGTGGCTTGAGCCACCTTGTTGGCAGACTTGGTCGTCTTGGCGCTGGCTTGAGAGGTTGGCTTGGTTTTACTATCAATGCGAGCCGGAGTAGAAGGGCGAGAAGCGGATGCTCTGACAGAGGACTTGGGATGGACAGTGTCTTCCTTGTCGCTCACACCGTTGAGCTTCGCAGGCATGGACTTTCTTGCCTTGCGATCGTTCTGCGTTGTTGCAGGGTTCATGGTCGACGACTTCGAGATCGATTTGTTTCTGGATGCGTTGGCCAGCTCGGTCTCGGTAGCCAGAGACTTGCGTTTCATCTGAGGATCTTTGAAAGAGATGCGCAAGGTTGACTTGGACGGTGGAGCTTGCGCCTTACGCTTGGAATTGGAAGTAGAAGGAGTCGTCAGTTGATGGCCTTGCGAGTCACCTGCATTAGCGGCGTGACCATTTAGCTTGCCTGACTTCCGATGACGGCTGCTACTTTTGGCATCAATTTTAGACTCTGACTCAGGAACATCGTCTGTCTTTTGCACCGGAGTCTTGGTGATCTTTTCTGACTGGGAGTCCTTGAGATCAACTGGACGTTGGGATTTACGACGCTTCGCCGATGACGCCGAATCTTCGAAAGAAGAGGCGATAGGGGTCGGAGGTAGAGAGTAAGAGGTCTGAGCCATCTTAATCTTGGTCGACTCTGGCTCTCTTGTTGATTTACGTGAGTGATGAGAAGAGCTACGTCGAGAGTTTGTTTTCTGGAGAACGGTTAGAGATGGAAAAGAGGGGGATGGTAAAACACGTACAGGAGTTCTATCAAAAACAGAGTTCAGAGACATCAAGTCGCGGGGGACAGAATCGCTTTTAGCCACTATATCTGGGTTAGTCGTTGATCAGAGGAATGAAAGAATTGTGTTGAAGCCCTAGTTGAGAGCGTCGATTCGAAGGACACAGCGAGAGACGTGCCAACTCGATTTTTGCCACTTACTTTTGACTGTTTGCAAGATATCTGGAGTAAATATCCAGATCCAGGTATTCAAATAAGTCTGTGATATCAAGTGCTTCGAGACTTGGAGAAGTATGCGGAGTATGCGGTAGTAGCAGTTGGGATGAGGAAAGGAAGAGGGAGATTCGAATACGTTTCGAGACGCGAGAAGGATGTGTTGTGTTTATCGCCAAATCTAGCACCTGATGCACAGTGAAAGGTTAGTGAATGTGTCCAAGGTGAGAGCAAACCACAGGCAGACGAGTTGTAGCGGCAATCCCTGCAGAATGGCCACTCCGCAACGACCGGCCTGTTTGAATAGCAGCAAACAGGACGTTTACATACCAGCACACCTTATTTTCAAATATTTATGACCTTATGATATCGATATCGATTGTAGGATGATGTAGAAATCGGATGGAAAGGCAGGTAATGACGGTGGCTACCTGTCGGCGCAACGGAGGCGAGGAGTTGGACAGGTTCAGGTCGATCGAGTTGCCAGCGCAAAGGTTCCCGTAGTTAGGTATCTGCAGGAAAAGACATGCTCGAGCACTACCGGAGTGATAATCGAGGCGATCAACGATGACACAGCGACGCTGCAGGGACGTTGACAGCAGGTAGCTGGCCGAGGAGAGAATGAGGTGTTTGGCCGACATCCAGAACTGCAGGAATCCGGGAAATAATTAGGGCTTGCGCGGAGCAGGTGGACGCCGATGCCCCAACTCTTACTATCAGGGAGTCCCGGCGCTTATCTGGAGGTCCGCTGTTTAGCGCTTCCGCGATTCTTCAAGACTCCGCAGTTGCATCAGAACATTGCTGCATTGTTCTGCCATCTCGACTGCACTACTTGTCTTTTAGTTTCTATTCTTTGACTATTCGACTCATCATGCAGCTTTGGCATACCGCTCTCCAGCTCTGTCTGCTGGCTTCAGCAGCAATCCCGACCGCAGCAGCATCCTCGTGGGGGTTTACTGATGCCACCGTGTCAGTTCAAACCAAAGGCGCAGGTGTCGGTTTTGGACTGAAGGAAAAGTATAGTGATTTCATTCAACTGACACTTTATGCAAGAAATTAACATGCTAATGATGGTACTAATTGCAGAATTCCCGACAACAAGCCGCTCTCCAAACCGGTCGCGCTCGGAAGCTCCGATACCCTTAAAGTGATCCTCACAGCACAGGAAGGAAGCTCCGCCAAACGCGCTCACCAAATCTTCCTCCTTCTCCAAGATCCCAAAACCGGCTTAGATGTCTCGTATCCATTTACCGTCAAGGACAATGGCAAATCAAGGCTTGAGCTGGTAAGCAGAGGTCGAGTGTACTGGGTTACTCAACAGCTGACGTGGCCTGCGTGCTTAGACTCAAAAAGACCTCCCCATTCAATTCCTCTCCGTCGCGGAACCCTTGGACGCCAGATTTGTCATTGGATCGTTTGGAACCTCTCAGGCGTACAATGAACCTGCTTTCCAGTTGACAGTGGCCCGCAACCCCGACGAACCAGTACCGAGCGTCGAGGCTTCGCGATATGGCAGACTGCCCGAGATTCACCATATCTTCAAGTCTGATCCTCAGAGCCCGCCAGTCATTGTGACTCTGGTCTTCATTGGAATGGTGCTGGCTGCTTTTCCGATCCTCGGTGGCCTGGTGAGTCTTTTCCTCCAAATAACGTTGTCGATGTTCTGACTCGTATAGTGGCTCTACGTTGGTGTCAACCTCAACCATCTGCCGACCGCCTTTAAGTCTGCTCCAATTCCCCACGCCGTTTTCCTGGGATCCCTGGTTTCCATCGAATGGATCTTCTTCCTCTACTACTCCCATTGGACGCTCTTCCAGATTCTTCCAGCTGTCGCTGCGGCCGGTGTTGTCGCATTCATCAGCGGCAGCCGCGCATTGGGTGAAGTGCAGGGCAGACGCCTTGCAGGTCTCAGATAGATGCGCATAGTACTGGATACTGGCAGTCTTAGGAGATGGGGTGATGCGCTTGTACTAGTAAGACTGGTCTTGAACCCTGATATACTATTTATATCCTTTTACATCGCGCGTAAAAAAAACCACAACACTATACCATAGCTTACTTCAGTCTCTAAAATATTACTTTTGGTACCGTCTCCTTCCAGCCATAGAACAAAAAAATAATCATAATAATCAACGGCCTGACGTCACTTCTGCGGCCACGACGTTGACCAAGACGGGCTAGCCCGGCGGGTCTTTTGATCTTCTGAAGAATCTCCGCAGGCTCTCCGCCTCTACCAACTCAGCTTCACACTTTGAGAAACATCAGATCGTCACTATCTATATATCCCAGGAGGGAAAATGGGCTCCTCCGCATCCAAACCCGCGCGGTCAGCCGCCAGCGCCGTCTCCCGACGCCAATACCCCAAACAGCCCTCCGCTGCCTCCAGGACGGCACCACCACCAAACACAGCACCACAAGCTGCCCCCAGAGAACCAAACCTCTCACAGCCACGCCAAGCTCAATCCCAAGCTCCATCTCTCCCCAAGGAACAAGCTTCCACAACAAAATCATCGGGTACGGATCCCTCCCCCGGCAGCCGGAGAAGAAAAGGTACCTAATTAGCTAACGCATCCAGTCATCGACCTCGACGGCCGCGACCCTGACTTCGCCGCTCACCTCCGCTCTATCGGCCCCGTAACCCCCAACCCTACTTTCTCGCGTACGAGCACGTTTAACCCCGGTCCTATCCAACAACAAAATCAAAACCAGCCCGTCTTTCCGACAGCGGCGAATCCGGCCCTTTTGGTGCTCGCTGCGCGGCAGACAGCTGCTAAGGCTGCGCAGGAGGAGGCGGAGCAGATTGGACGGCCGGGGTTTGCGGGGCAGGAGTTTGTGGATGCGTGGACGATAAGGCAGGCGTTGACGATGCGGGATCGGCAGGGTTTGAGTCTGGGGGAGATTGAGGGGATGTTGAAGTTGAAGAAGGGGGTTTTGGGGCGGTTGGGGGCGAAGGGGGTTGTAGGGGAGGTTGGTTGATGACGGTTCATGGGTTTGGGTCTGTATATGATGTGTGAAGAAGGGTTTGTACTATAACTTGATATGTATGACTGATTGATTGGACCTATGTACTATAAAATGATGATATTCTGGCTATGTTGAACGTTTGATCAGCGCCTCCTCGACTGGCTTCAGCTTCCCGGCTAGCTCGAGCATCCATTCTTGTTTGGCTGCATCCGCGAAGAGAGGATATGGTCTTCGACAAGCGGCGCTGTCATCGGGATAACCAAGCAATTTGGCGACGACCCATTTGCTCCCGTTGATTCCTCCCTTTGCAAAGGCCCATTCCGACGTGGCAGCCTTCAACTGGAGCTCGGTTGCTTCCTGGACCTTACCAGCCTTGTAGAGATTGTACAGCTCCACACACGCCTACCACAGTCCACAATCAGCGCACGGTAAACAGGCCTGGAAGAAGGATACTCACCCTCGGGTGCAGATTCGCCATTCCCGTAATCGCTCCGACAGCACCAACGGCCATCGCTGGGCCCATCCAGTCAATCTGCCCGCCGAGCACGCTGAACGGTCTCGCCGCATTGGCCGTCACACGGGGGACTTTTCCAATACCGCCACACGTCAACTTGGCCCCCGAGATATTCGGATGCGCGCTCAGCTTCACCAGCATGTCAGAGTCGACGTCCAGCCCTGCCGCTACACCCGGGTAATTGTACACCATAACGGGAATGGGGCTGTGGTCGGCGACTTCTTCGAAGAAGGACACGATGGCGGCGGAGTCCATGGCGAAGTGGTAGTAGCTCGGTACTAGGACCATGGCGAAATCGGCGCCGGCTTGATGGGTTGCGATGGTCTCGTCGATGACATGGTGGGTGGATTGGCCGCCGCAGCCGAGGGTGATGGTTACGTCTGGGCGGTTGAGGCGAGCTGCGGAGTTTCGGGTTAATTGGACGAGTGAGGTCTTTTCGGCGGTTGAGAGTGTGACTGCTTCGCCGTTGGAGCCGGCGAGGACGACTGTTGAAGTTCTTACTTGTTAGGTTGTAGCCTTGTATGGTTGGGGTATGGTGGAGAGGGACGTACTTCCGTGGAGACCGGACTGGATAAGAAATGAGAGATGCTTCTCTTGTACGTCCCAGTCAATGTCCTGTCGCGGATTATTTTGAAAGAAGGTAAGACAGGGAACGTGAATGCCTCCTGGAAAGACTTTGTTGCGGTTGGTCTGATTTGACGCCATGGTGTTCTATATTTTCAAAGTTGGGGTAATGGACGAGTAGGCCTGGGAGTCAGATCGTACGAGCAATTCAATGAGCTAGTTGTCCCCGCACCTCGATTGAGTTCAATCCATCTCTTTAAATATTGCCGTAATCTTCAGGTTCTCCTCCATATTATGAAAACGACATCTCGGATCCTCTCCGAGAGATGCAGGTAAACCCCACCACCCTCGGCAATCTGACATCTTAGTTGAGACGGGATGTGGTATACCCGGGAAGAGAGAAAACTGCAGATTGATGATATCGAAGGCTTTTCTAACTGATGGCTGAGCCGTGGAAGTGAGGCAGTACTGTCAGCGAAGTGTAAATGAAAATAGATATTCGCATATACTGACACCACTTTTCTGGTGCACAATAAGGACCCTCCCTTGCTCGATATTCAGAGCTGTCATTAATACCTCCTATGGAATAAGTTGACTTTCGTCAAATATCTCTCAATCCATGACCCCATTGTCAACCATATTTAGCAGCTCTAGCTTGCCCTCACCACAGTTCCCACTTTGACATTGAGCTCCGTGACTTATGTTTCCAACCCATAAGGGTCGAATTTACGCATTGTCTTTTCCTGCCTCAGCCTACATCCGTGTCGTTGGAGAATTTATTCTATTTACTCTTCGTATCTTCTAGAATGGAATCACTGAGTCTTCGAAGCTTACTCCTTCGTGAGGACTTGAATTGCCTCCATCCATGTTACTCAAATGTCATCATTTACTTTTCTTGGAATACAGGGGCGTTGTTTCTTAAGGCAGATAAGTTTTCCTGAAATGAGCATTGTTGCCTGTTTGTTACGTGAATGCGCACCTTCCTGTGGTTGAGTGAATGATGGAAGCCTCCGTACCTAGCTCTGGCAGTTCCCCATCTGTCTCTCATCTCTCTCTCTCTCTCACTCTCTCATCTCTCTCACTCTCTCTCTCTCATCTCTCTCTCTCTCATCTCTTCCATTCCTCATTAAGGCCTCTATTTCCATCTGACTACATACGGATTTCTATAGCCGACTTTCCTTACTTTGGTCCACGCTAGAAATTAAACAGCAACTTGGGCGTCCTTCAAAAATCTTAGTAATTTTTGAACAACTTCTCATCATACAAATGTGAGTACATACGTTGAGCTGGCCCCAATAATGGCCTTTTGATTGGATGAATGCATGTCTAACACTTTATAGGCCGCGCATTGAAGAACCTGCTGCTGTAGCTTTCGGCCACCCCTCCTCCTCCTCCTTCTCCTCCTCCTGCTGCTGCTGCTCCTGCTACGCCTGCTCCAGCCCCCGCCCCTGCTTCGAAGAGTCGGTATACCGATTCAACCTTCATGAGAAGCCAATGCTAATATAGATATAGAGCAGAAGAGATGTGGGGAGTGTGGAAATTTCCATGAAGAGAATTGCTGGCCCCTTTGTGACTCCTGCAAGCATCGC